TTTTTTTTTTTTGGGTATCTGGTCTCAAGCTGAGACCAGATACATGTAGGGGGTCCGGCGTTTTGGGAACGCCGGACCCCCAGGAGCAAAAAATTCTGACCAGATTTTCACAAAAAAAGTCAGTTTTGATTTCGTTCAAAAAATATAATATGTCCGTTTTGACGAAATGGCTGTTACGCTCATTCTTGTGAGTCGCTGCACAAAGCACTCTGCATGGTTGTTCAAAAACTTTAATCACACATCCCAAAAAGTCTCATGTATTGTTTGTACTAGTCACCTCCAAAGTCAAATTCTTGTCATAACAATATCGGAAATTTTCCAGTCTTCTTTCTGCCACAGCCTTTGCATACCTCGATTCTCTCACAAACTTGGAAAAAGCAGACACATCATCAACTAACCGCATGCCAAATAGCATTCTCCGTTCCCTTCCTAAATGTCTCAAGAATTCCCATTCATTGAAAGCACAGAGCAAGCATACCAGCGCCGGGCTGGAAGACTTCCCCATGGGTATCCCAACCCTCTGTTTCAGAAGCACCCCCATGGCTGACAGGTAAGTATTGTCAAGATCAAAGTTCACCATTTTGAGTAAGGTCTAAAATTTTATCCGTTGAAACCCTGTAGGAGACTTCTTTTTCCTTCCCAGCATAGCACCTTTGCCCCTTCTTTTTACAAAAACCACAGAGAACCCTTTCGCTTCGAACACCCCGACCAGCCACTCGATTGCCTTAACGATTGATGAATGTGACAGAGTTGTAAACATCTCCTTAACATCAAAACTGGAAGCAATTACACTCTCATCTGAGAAAATATTACTATTAAAGGTGTCTAGTCTCCCCATCATCCAACAGAAAAATTCCCATGAAAATAAAAGTTGAAAAAACATTCCATAAAAAAAAAATCCTTCATATCTATAAATTATCATTCCAATGTTTGTCAAATTCTAAAATTTCCAATTTAATTTAATGAGTTTCCATCTAAATATGAGTTTTCCCTTCCAACTACATCTATTTATTCAAGATGGAATGAAAGTCTGGACGAGTTTATGAAATGTTTTAATTAGACTTTCATTCTACTACAACAAATATCGTCTAATTTAGATTGGATTAACCTATTTATAACTGGAAATCCTTACTTAGAATGACAGTCCAATTAAAATATTTCATGAACTCATCCAGACTTTCATTCCATCTCTAGCATACAGTTCAAATTAGAAGGGATACCCCATTCTTGGACTGAAAATTTTCAAGCAAGACGAAAAATTTTAAAATTGGAATGACATTTTTTAAGATGGAATGAAAATTTAGAATTTAGAACGTAATTTTACTTTAGAATGATTATTTAATTTTAGAAAATTTTTCTGTTGTCTCGCTCGAGCATCTCAAATTGAAATTAGATTCCTGGGGGAATGTCCATAATAGTCGATTCACCGATTTTGATATTATCCTACTCAAACGGACCAGCGGATCTGAAAACGACGGGCAAACAGGTCGCCATTTAGCAACATTCTTATGTTTCGGGATCCCATACGTCCTACCTACTTTCCCTTGCTTGTTTAACGTGGTGTGTTTATCCAAACCTAAGTTCTGAAATTCCAATGGAATACCATTAACGACTTCGTGCTCTCCACGACACTCCACAAAAAAACCATAGTTTTTAATAAACAAGGAATCCATACCTTTCCTATAAACAATCGGGCAGCAAACATAGGAATCCCCCGCTTTATGGTCGATACAACAAATAATCAAGCCATTCAACCGTTCTTTGATCACTTGTATATTCGTTAACGTGTTCCTCGAGAATACCCCCTCTCCATCTCTGTGATTGAAACACTCCTTCAACTCCGTATTCGAAACATCAAAAATCTTGGTATCTTTTTTAACAGCACTCAAACCTTCCAGAATACATGTTCGTAGCCTCCCCAGATTGTGGTGAAAACACGGATATACAATGTTCTTGCTATTCTTTGCAAATCTCGAAATCCAATCCACCTCACTGAATCTAAAGGACACGTGTCCGTCCTCTTTTGGAAAGTCAAGCTGATGACACTTACATACGAAATCCCCATGTCGTGCAAAAAATCAAAAATCATGCAGAATATCCCCGACGGACTTATTTTTAACCCAAACAACGCTTAACTTCCTACATATAATCTGCTGCAGTGGTTTCCTAATCGAGGATCTCTTGATGAACGAAATACACAGATTCCTAGTTCGTTTCCTGGAAAGACTCACATCAAATGGAATTCGAATAGTCACCTTAGTCCTGATCTTAATTGAAAACTTACCCTTCACAACCCGAGTTAATATCGCTCTCAAGGTTGACCAACTTTCTTTTTTCGAAAAGCACCTTGCACAATTGTAAAGCTGAATGAGCCTATCAAGCGGCTCCCGGTAGAGTTTCCTGCGTGTACAAGGGTTTTTTAACAGGGCAATGAGCTCCTTCTTCTGCTTTTCAAATTTCGAACAGAACCTAGAGATTGTCTCAAAGAATAGCGTAACCCCTGATACCAATTGTCCCCTGCAGTGTCGTAATAGCTCAGTCCTTCCTTCAATCTTCACAACAGAGGACCCGTAGCATCTCTTCAACACATTCCATTTCTTGACCAGCACATCAACCCCACTGCATTTCACTATCACTGATCGCACGTGTTTCCGAAAACAGTCATCCAGTACCTCTCGAAGGCTGGTTGAGCCAGTCCCATACGACGATTGAAAAATAACGAATGATTTTGTTTTTCCTGTCTCCATTGACCTACTCTCCTCCTTATTCCCCCTTCTCCTTCTCCTCCTCTCTCGTTTTCCTGGTCTCTTTTTCCTTCTTTCACGTCGTCTCCCATACGATGGAATGAAATTCAGAAACGGATTAAAAGTACGAATGAAATAAGACTCAGTTGCTAGTAGCTGATCAGAATTCACAACAGCGATAGGAATAGCTACATAACTACCTACATTATTATATCTAAGCCACCTATAGAGACGATGGTTCCTAATACTTTGATTAAGAGGGGCATTCACCCAGTATAAATGCTCTTTCCATCTACGCTGAAGAGGTCTCGAAGAACATCCTACATATATATGTTTACACGAGGGCGATACCAAAACATAAACAAGCGGGTCAGTACAAGAAATGAAATCATACCCAATGGAGAATAAATATCTAATGTACGGAACGGCTTCTCACACCAAGTTAACTGTCGAAGGAGGATCAAAGACAGAACTACCAATTTGAACACACAATCAATCTTACCATCTTTCTGAAGTTCCTGATTCTCTCGGGCATCTCTGCACGCCAAGGCCAATTCAGTGAGCTCACCCACGCTCGGTGGCAGATACTAGCATCCGGCCGACACGTCCTCCTGACTATCCCGATCGCCCTCACTATTTACCACCAGATCCTTAGATCCTTCGGATTCCTCAGTCTCCTCCGTAACGGCAGCAGCTGGAGCACCACCCTTACCAAAGGCACGGTAAGTGTATATATCCGCTATCTCTGCAGCAGATGTCTTGATTGTGACGTAGTCAATCTTCTCCTCATCGCATAGTTTCTCGATTTCCTTCTTCTTCAATTTTGCCAGCTCAACGCACCCCTCTTTTTGAAATCCTCCCTCCCTTCATTCTTCATCTTGACGAACTGGACACTTGCTTGCTCCTTCCCACTAGTTTCCCCGCTCTTTACGGGGCTTGCCGCTTTGGTGAGTCGGATTCGTAAGTTGGAGGGAGAGCCCCTCTTCCGTGCAATCCTCTTCCTCTTGACGCTTGCAGGTGTTGTTGTTGGAGTACAGATCCTATTAACCCTCTCCTTCAGCGCCTCCACTTCTCTCTCTGCCATATCTCTATCATCCCTCATTCTCCGATAGGCTTCAGCCAGCTTAACATAGTCACCAGGAGTGGGCTCGTTAGGCTTCTTCCCCTTTTCCTTCGCAGGGGTTGATGTTGGACTCTTCCCACCAGTAGCTCCGACCGTTGACGCCATTCCTTTGGTCAGCAAGCCAACTTTCTCCTTTAGAAATAGAACGTCCTGGATCAGGTGCTGATTGTCCAGCCTCAGCGAAGCCAATTCCTGTTCTGTCTGATTGGAGGTCTGCCATCGCCTTCTTCAATTTGAGAATCTCTTCATCTTTCTTCTGAATTTCTTCGCTCTCGTGACTCTTCAGTATTTCGGCTTCAGTTCGCCGTCGAATCTCAGCAGCTGTTGATACTGTCAGACGCTCTCCTTCTCCAACTTTCCGTCCCAAGACCTCCTCACAGACATATCTCATTTGACTTTGCACCATCCTTCCGATACTCTCTTTGAAGTCCTCCTTCTCCTTAGCTTCAGCAAGCTTCTTTTCCTCGATCTCCTTTTCTTTCTTGGCCGCTTCCTCCTTTCTAGCGGCCTCCTCTTTCTCTTTCTTTATTCTCTCTCTTTCCTCCATCTCTCCCGACATCCAGTTACACATCTTCTCCACCCTCTCATTTTTGTCCCTTTGATCCGAATACCAGGGTCGCCGGTAATTATTATTGTAGTAACTGCCGTACCCAGCATTGTAATCACCATTATAGCCGCCATTGCTGCTCCCTGAACCTTGGTTGTTACGCACATCTTGAGATGGAGCTTTATATGGAACGATCGCCCCCGGAGACGGTAAGATTGGATTCGAGTTTGAAGTCGATGCTGATGCTTGGTTGTTGTTGCCGCCTTGTCTGGTCTGTTGTTCCATGTCTCGCATGCGAGTTCTACATTCCCGAATGAAGTGACCTGGTCTTCGACAATAGTGGCATACACGAGGATCCATAAGGTTGGAGGAGAAAGACAAGACGAAGAAAAAGAAGAAGAAGAAAGGCAAGAAAACAAATAAATGTATATGAAGAGTTCTCTGATGCGATCAATAGATGTAGGAGGAGTAGGGATAGTGGTAGAAAGAGTAGGAGTAGTGGTAGAATTAGGAGTAGTGGTAGAAAACATCGAATATAGATAGGGGTGAAGGCGCAATCACACATCCGTAGTACAATTGCTACTTTGGTTCATGCGTGGACTAATGTTGCAGACATCAGTCTCAGTGCTAAAACACCATAGTGTTCAGACACACAAATGCAGCATACACACACCACACAGGACGAAGATGGAAGTAAAGAACCGAGCGCAGGTAGTTGCGTTATAGAAAAACATGAAGTACAATATCACGCATGTCAGGCGAAAGACCCGACACTGTGTTTCTGCCGGTCGCCTGTCCGACATCTTCAGGGGTCATGGTACCTCGCGCAGGATAGAACTAATGACGCTACTACTTGTTTATATCCAAAAACCTGTCGTCAACTTCGAGTACCATCATCCCGGTAATGACCTGCATGAGCTTTTAGAAGAGACTAGAAATTGTTACCAGTATAGACAGTCTGGACTCTACGGGACTGGAATACGTCAGAAGTTCAAAGCCTAACACAGACGGAAGGAAAAATATGGTTCAGAACCTAGCTTACAAGCTTCTATGAACCAAACGGGTACCAGAGGTTGCGGGTTCAAGTCAAGAAGCATCCTAATTGCCAAAGTATCCGAATTGTCAACGGATATCGGAGGTTGCAGGTTCGAAACCGAGGTGCCAAATATCATCAAATCAAAGGACAGATACCAGCAAAAGCACCTAGATTGCCCGTTGCATAGAGAATAATGGGATGCTGGACCCGGTTTCCAGCAAAAGGATGATGTTTAAACTTATTGTAAGGGACGTTGCACCCGGTTTCCAGCAGGTGCAGCTCCCCACCAACAGATGGAGTGATCCGCAGAGGGCCTAGTAGGAGGGGATGCTCTTATCACCTCGCCTATTAGGTTCCATGGAGTTTCGCCGTAAAAAACAAAAAAAAAAACAAAAAAAAAAACAAAAAAAAAAACGTCTTGTCCATCTGCACTGCAGTGGGCCCCCAGCCTGATGATCATCTCGAAATTCACAGCCAACTGAAATACGAGGGGAAAAATGAAAACAATTTTTTTATTTATTATTATTATTTTTTTGGGGGGGGAGGGAGGGGAGCGTAGGCGGAGTGCGGGACGGGGTCAATCTGAACAGTCCCGAGCCATCCAGACAAAAGGCTGGCATCTGGATTGGTTCGGTGTGCGGGTCCGGCATAACCATGCTCCATAGTTGAGTGCATAAGTGCAAACCGGGTTGGAGGCGGGCTACTGGAGAGGCAGATAGGGAAAGGCTTCTTCTTTGTTTTTCTTTTTTTGACTTTTTTTATTCCTTTTTTCTTTGAGAAAACTACGGCACAGTCAGGGTTACAGTTTGTAATTGCATTTCGAACTGTGTTTTAGCAGTTTAGTCAGGGCCCGAGTTTCAAATGCAGTTGAAACTCGGGGTGGCCTTTTTAGCAGTTAGATCAGGCACGTGGACCCTTTTTTCTTTTCCGTTTCTTTTTCCCTTTTTTTTTTCGTTTTTTTTCCCCCTTCTTCTTTTTTTGTTTTTTCCCCACCCCTTCCCCTCATGTGGTGGGGCCACGGCCGAGATATCTCGGCCACACCCGAAGGGAAAAAAAAAAAAAAAAAGCATCTGGTTGTGTGGCGGGGCCACGGCCGAGATGTCTCGGCCACCCCTGAAAGGGGGGCTGGGGGAAAAAGAAAAGGAAAAAAAAAACGGGCCAGGTGCCTGGCTGAACTGCTAAAAAGGCCAGCCCGAGTTTCAACTGCATTTGAACCTCAGGCCCTGACTAAAAAACTGCTAAAATGCAGTTTGAAATGCAAATACAAACTGCTTTCATGACTGCGCCATAAATACCTCTTTTCAACTGCGTTTACCCTCCTCGCCATCATTCTAAGATGACGTCATCATTGCTACCTCCTTGCCAATGACGTCCACCAGACCGACGGCCTCCAATGCCGCCCTGCCTTTATCTATGCACGTTTGTCGTTGTGAAGTCTTTCTGGTTCGTGCGCAGAGTCGCAGACTTCATGGCACGGAAGTGGAAGTCCACTTACGTTGCCTGCCGTTTACGAAGTCGTTTGTTCAAAAATGACAATGTTCGTTTTTCTGTATTAAGATGATTTAGGTACTGTTGTGCCACAACCTGCCATAGCGGTCCTCGTTTCGGTAATCTGGCACGAATGTTTCCTGGTTTCGATAATTGAATTTGAGGGGGCGACGATGTCAGTCTCTATTAAACCACCAGTACCTACCGGTTGTCAAGGCCCGTGGCTCAGGCTACTGGTAGCCCCGTCATTGCCGAGCCTCGGACTTTATTGCCGAGCCTTGGGCAACCGGTACACAACGGGGAAAAAAAAAAAAAACACAAAAAAACATACAACAATCTGCAAAAAACAAACAAAAGAAAACAAAACGAAACGAGACAAGCCCAACGAGAATGCATCTTCCTCGATAAAGAGGAAGGTTCATTCTCGTGTGAGAGAGAGAGAGAGAGAGAGAGAGAGAGAGAGAGAGAGAGAGAGAGAGAGAGAGAGAGAGATTCTCTTCTCTCTCTCTCTCTCTCTCTCTCTCTCTCTCTCACACACACACACACACACACACACACACAAAGCCAAGGTCGAAATGCGAATGAATCTTCCGCGTTATTGCGGAAGATTCATTCGCATTTCGACCTTGGCTTTGTGTGTGTGTGTGTGTGTGTGTGTGAGAGAGAGAGAGAGAGAGAGAGACAGAGAGAGGGCGTCAGCCAGTGTCTGACGCTGAGTTTGGTGCACCAAACTCGGCGTCAGAAACTGGCTGACGCCCT